ATAGAACACCATATGAATTGTGGAATGGTAGAAAACCAAACTTAAGTCACTTACGAGTATTTGGCTGTACAGCATTTTATTATGTGAACAAACAAAAACGGCGTAAATTCGACAACAGAGCTGAAGAAGGAATATTCGTAGGATACGATTTACGAAGTAAGGGATACAGGATTTATGTAGGTGGAAGAAAAATAATAGTAAGTAGAACTGTTAAATTTTCAGAAAACGCGTCTTTACCTGACAAACTTGCAGAAAATAATGCTGAAGATTTAGAATTAATTCACTTCAATAACTCGCAAGAAGATGAAGAAAATAATGAAGAAACATCTCTTGGCGATGATTTTACAGAAGATTCAAAAAGTTCCGAAGAGTTAATTAAATGTGAAGAAAATGTAGAAAGAAGGGTTTCTAGCAGATCAACCAAAGGGGTCCCACCGGAAAGATTCTCTTATAAAGCAGAAGACGAAGAATCAATCTTACTTAAAATTAAAGATCCAGAAAGCTTTGAAGAAATTCTAAACTTACCAAAACGTGAACAAGAAGCTTGGATCAAGCCTATGCAAGAAGAAATACATTCTCTAAAAGAAAATGAAACCTATAAACTTACAGAATTACCACCAGGAAAACATGCAGTAGGCAGCAAATGGGTGTTTAAGACAAAATATGATGAAACTGATAAAAATATAAAATACAAAGCACGCTTAGTAGCCAAAGGATTTACTCAAAAATATGGCAGTGATTGCGTATAATAATGCCAAGGTACATCAACTAGATGTTAAAACAGCTTTTTTGTACGGCAACTTAAATGAAGAAATATATATGGAACAACCAGAAGGATTCGTGGTTCCGGAAGAAAGACATAAAGTTTGTAAATTACAGAAGTCGATTTATGGTCTCAAACAAGCAGCTAGGTGCTGGAATGCAGAAATTGATAATACACTGAAGAATCTGGGGTTCAGTCAAAGCAAAGCAGATCCGTGTCTTTTCACAAAAGTGGTTCGTGATAAAAGAATTAATTTAATAGTGTATGTTGATGACATCCTAATAAGTTCTACAGAAGAAGGACTAATTCTTCAAACAATTAATGATTTAAAGAAACGTTACCAAATAACGCATCTTGGTGAAGCTAAATATTTCTTAGGCATGGAAATAAATCGCAAGGAAGATGGAAGTTATCTCTTATCACAGAAAAATAAAATAAATCAACTTGTCAAGCAATTTCAACTTGAAGAAGCAAAACACGCTAGCACACCAATGGAAATGAACTATTATAACCTAAACAAGGAAGAAAATCTCCTAACTTCAAATGATAAATTTCGCCAAGCTATTGGAAGTCTTTTGTATATATCATCTATCTTCTATGTGTAACGGAAATTCATAATGGATATCGAGTACCTGCAAGTCCAAAAGTGCTAACATCAGTGTACAGCAATCTCTTAAATGTTTAGAAGAAAAACAGAAAAGTGTTTTAAATCATCAAAATGTGCCTGTTCTTCACAGAAGTGTTATCATTCAAATTGTGGCTATGACTGTGAAAGTGAATTAGTTAATTAATGCCTGTATCTTCAATATACGTATGGCTTCGTCAATCTATGTGCGCAACCTGGTAAACCTGGTATCAGCGAGTCAACTACATCGAATCGTTCACAAACAAGTGTATTTAAAGTCAAAATCCATGCTTTGAAATTTAATTCAACATTTGCGGTGATTTAATAAGTTCAACGTAATTCAACAGCAATATAAAAATGTGAAAAAAAAAATCGAATAATAGATTTGCTGCGAGTGCTTAAAAATGAAATCTAGTGCCAGCCTTTCAAAATTAATCCAGGGTTTGTTTATTGTAGAATGACGAATGTTTTCCAAGTGTCAACGTTTCAAATCATTCTAGTGCTTTCAAGGTCATCGAACTGCATATCTTGATCCGGCTCTTATGCGAATAAATTCGCAGTTATGGGATTACATTTACACTTAAAGTAGGTGCCAGAAAATTATTTTCGCTTCTGCTTTTGCGTAACTGAATCTACATTGGGAACTGATTTTTTTTCCTTAATAAATTGGACATTAAAAATGAACACTGTGCTATAAAGGAATATAATTTAATAATATTAGAAATTTGAATTCTAATAATTTAGCAAAATAAGTAAATAATTCTTAGATTTTTAATTATTTTCAGGAAGGCTATTAAGGTAAGTTTTTATATTTTTGAAATTTTGTTGAAAATTTTGAATAGGAATTTTATAATTATTCTAAAAATAAAGTTGATATAAAAAATAAGTGAAATTAGTGCAGATACGTAATATGAAATTATGGTAAATACATGTTAAAATTTATGGGTGATTGTATGTTAAATATGAAGTATGATGAGGGTGTACTGGTTCCTACACAGAGGCCTGTAATTACCTCTGTACAGTTGTTCCTTTTACCCTCTTCATGTAAGATAATGTTGGAGGCTCTCATTCTTATGAGTGTCTGTAATTTTTATAAATATTATTATACTTTTTTTATTGTGGAATGTATTAGTGCAGTTCTCAAAGGCCAGTTACCTTATGCGAGGAATGGAGGCCTTTTCAAATAACTGCCTAGGCACCCTGGGCCACCAGTGCATAGAACAGACTGGTTCAAAAGGACAGCCCTATTGATGGATATGCTTGTTTAGAAGTACTGCGAAGCCTTCCAATTTGGTAAAATCAGGAATTGTAAATGAAAGATATTAACAGTCAAACCATAATTTCTGAAACTGTTACTTCTATTATATTTACAGTGTTAAAATATAATTTATCAGTATAGAAATTAGTATCATAAATATTTATGTGTGCTACATTTAATTATAAGTAACGATTATGTAAAAGTTTTATTTTGTGATATTCTGTGATAACAAGAACCTTACCTGAAGAATTATGATTATGTGAACTCTCAAATAAAAAAAACTTTTGAACTGAAATGCTGAAAAATTCAATAGGACTCTAAAAATTTTTAATTTATTTTAAAAAATTGATATTTATAAATTGTACTTTACAGGCAAAATTTTATGATTTATGTTTTTTTGCATTTGCTAGTGCTTTAACGCCTTTTTCTTCTTGAAGGGGGGGGGATATGTAAGGAAAATAAAGAATATGTAAAAGATTAAATTAGAAGCATAAATTAAATTTCCTTCTAAAAAGAGTAACATCTATTTGCACTGCGTCATTTCGAGAAAAATCTATGTCATGTGGCTCTTACGTAATTCTGGTGATGTAAATGGAACTAAAGCTCAAGCAGCCAATAATAATTTTGCAGCAATATTAACTATCGAATCAAAATGCTTTGAGAAACAAAACTAACTCAGTTTGACTTCAGATTTCATCCTGAACATTACGCACTTTCTTTCCCCAGGCTTAGCTGGACTGCAGTCTGTCTGCTTCATCTTTTTTGCTGCAAATCTATCAAAAATGTAAGCCTTTTAGAACAGGCACATTTAATGTGCCGACTTATGTGTAGCTGCAACATGTTGCTGAAAATAAACCTGAAGATTTAATCTGCCTTCGCCTCCAATTTTCTAGTCATTATGGATCAATACTTCAACGCCATCAAAATTCATGCTCCTGAATATATTACATATATATGTTTTAATTACATTATTTTGATTGACTCTCTACTTGTTATTATTTTTTTTTTTTATCTTTATTCATTAATCTACTTTGTGCAGCTGAAGAAAAAAGGGGGAAAAAAATTCATTTTAATGTAGCATATATATTGGTGCGGGTTTTTGTGAGTATGGGCTTTTATCAATGTGGGCTTATATCTCTGTGGGCTTTTATCAATGTGGGCTTATATCTATGCGGGCTTTATCAATGTGGGATTTTATCAATGTGCTCTTTCATCGGTTTGGGTATTAGTCGCATGGGGTCTAGTGGGGTCTTTTGGCGCATGCGCTTTCGTCCAGTGGGCTTTTGTCTAGTCACCACACATTACACATGGGTAAAAAAAAAAACACCCATGCAGCCAGTCCATTTGCGGGATTCAAACCTCGGATTGAACTACCAGTGTTCAGCAACTTTACTACTCGCCCACTGGTGGGCTCGATTATTCAAAATGTAATAATAAATTAATTTGTTACCAAATCCATTTTATTTCTGCAGACAGAAATCAAAATTCCGTGACTATGTTTTTAATAATTATAAAAGTATTTTACTCCTTCTTTTTGAATAATGCAAAAATTAGAACTAAAACTGAATGCATGCGCAACATTCATTCTGGTCAAATACGAGCTCATTTAATAAGCCGAAAGACAAAAACCTCATGAACTAGTAAATAAGCCTGTCGTGCCAGATTTTTCCATGTACTCACTGTATTGTACAGTTTGCTTAAATGCATACGGCATATGAACCAAAGACCAGATACATCACTTAAAAGGGATGAGGATTTCTGCAGACGGAGCGTAGTTACACCAACATTTGTCCTCATTGCCCAGATGACATCCCACTGTCTCGCTATCACATCTTCAGCTGCCCGGCAATCCAGGCGACTGTTTAGCATCCGCATTGAAGACCCAGTGGACCTACTTTATACTGATAGAGCTGCCAAGGTTGCAAAAGCTGTCTTTGACAGCTTCGGAGCTATATAATTGCACTTTGCCATAGACACGACATCATCATCATCACCAGATACATGGTAAAGAGGCTTTGCTACCTACTATACTGTGCATTAGAGCAAAGTTAAAGAGAACTCAGTAGCTTTAGAATATAAGTATTGGAATATATGAAACAATAATAAAGTTAGGACCATTAATAGCACCATTAATTTCATCCAGGGTGGCTATGAAAATTAATTAATTCTTCAATCATTTGTATAAAAAAATAAAGAGGATGTTTAGAAGAGTTCACAGTTACATTTAATTAATTGTTATTTAACAAAATTACACAGAAAGTTTCAAAGAATAAGTGAAAAACTTAAACATTTTTAAATAATTAGCATATTTAAAATACAATGATGAAAACAATAAAAAAAAAAAGTCTAGTTACCTTAAGTACTTCAGCAACCAAATTTCCTCCATGATCTTTGGAATTAGGATCAATCTATAAATATATAATTCATTTAGAACTAAAATAAACTTTAAAAAAAAAAGTATTGAGTTGACAGATTACTTTGACTCATAGTTGCAATAATCGGTAGAATTTTTTTTTTTTTTTTTTTGTTGCATTTTCAAATTGACATGCACCAACAGCCAACTCATACATATGTGTACTATAACACATGCTTGAGTACATGTGGATTTACACATTTTATATATATAGCTGTCATTTCACTGAACAGTAGTCTCTGGCTGTATAAATGTACATATCAGCTATACAGACTTTTGTTCATTCTCATAAAATTTTTATTCCTCATAAAATACTGTTTTTAATATTACTTATGAGTGGAACATAGTTAATGAGGTGTAAACAAGCTAAACAAATCTTTGTCTCCAATTCACAAAGTCATCAGTATTTATTAGGAAATTTTTATCACGATGCACATAATCAGCAAGTACTCTCAATTTAGATACAAGAAGAATGAAAATAAAGATCAGAATAATATTAAAGCTTTTCAATGCTGTTATATAATGCGAGTGGCCATCATAACATACTTTTCATATACACTCTATCTCCTACATATTAAGATATAATATACACAAGAACACTTTTTATTTGCATTATACCAACACACATGATGCAAGAAAAAGACAACTTGAATTTTTTTATCAAACAGATTAGAACTTCAGATTTGTAAGGTCGAATTACTTCTGATTTAAAATATTTTAACATGAAAAAAATGCATTACTTGAATATGAAATATATGGTAAGAGTAGACTGAAGGGTAGCCCTTGTATTATCATGAAGTTGTTGTTTCATTTATGGTAACCTGAGTAGCTGAATGTTCTGTATAGTTTTACCTAGAATTGGGTGCTCCTTTGATGTTTTAAGTGAAAATATATCGATGTGTACATAGACAAAGTCAAGGGAGTGCACAATGTCAAGTTTGTACAATTCTCTGAATTTTTTAAAGTGAAAATAGGTCGGCATGTACATGGATAAAGTCAAGGGAGTGTGCTATGCCTAGTTTGTGCAATTCTGCGATTTTGTTTAAGTAGGTCAATGTGCACATGAATACCGAGTTTGTGCAATTCTTTGAGTTGTTATTTTGTCTTTGTGTAGCGACAATTTTTGGCGCTAAAATCGCTGCTACACAAAGCCAAAATAACAAGTCAAAGAACTGCACAAACTCGGTTGGCAATTTTTGACAAGGGGTACCCGTAAATATACTTTTACCAAATATATGCTTGCAAGTGCTCAAGAGACATAAATTTCACCACTTGAAACTTAAATAAAAAAATAAACAATGTTCATGATTGACCTATCAGTATAAAATTTCATTTTCCCTACATTAAAATAATACTCTCATGCAGTGATGAAATTAAAAGATTGCTTAAATAAACAATAAAATTAGCTCTGAAGCAGCAATATATTGCCTAAATAAATATTAAAATTCAGCTCTAATGAGCACTTCACAGAATGAAAATTATTTTAAGCAGCAGCTACACTGAACTGGCAAAGTCCTTCCATTATCTTAAATGAACAGAGAATTTTACTCCTGTAACAACTATAATATATATGTGTGTGTATTAAATAATACAGGAGTTAAAATAAAGTAAGCTCTTGCACTACCAACCACACAAATATTTCTAGACCAAAAGTATGAAATGGGAAAAATTTAGACTCTAGTGTAGAATTGGGTGCCCCTTCGATTATCGACAATTTTTTGTAAAATTTTGGCGATGAAATCTCATTTCTGGTTACCATGATAGTTTAACTTTGCTTTAGCCTCCTGATTTTTTTTAAATAAAAATAGACTGATGTGTACATGGACAAATTTAAAGCAGTGCACAATGCCTAGTTTGTGCAATTCTTGGATTTTTTTTTTTTTAAGTGAAAACAGATCGATGTGTACATGGACATAAGAGTTTATGCAATTCTTTGACTTCTTATTTTGGTTTTGCGTAGGGGCCATCTTGAAATTGTGTCTTCCTGGCGCCGATCTTGGCGTCAAAAAAGAATCGCCAAAAAACAAGTGGCACCCAATTGTAAACTTTTACCAAAATTTACTAGATGAGTTGCACAGAATATTTGAAAAAATGTGACTGTAGCTTATTTAAATACTGATCAGACTCTATTAAATGACTGATCATAGACACTATTAATGAAAACATAGCATTTTAGGAAATCTGATCAATGTGAACTTCTGGTTCTGCAAATATAAAATCTATTTTGTATGGGCACAGGAGAACATAAATTATGCTTTAATAAGTTACTTTAACTCAGCAAAATATCCTCATGCTTCAATTAACTTAGCAAAATATTCTTATGCTTCAGTAAGTCAAATACAAAATTACCCATATTTTTAATACAGATCAAAACTCAACATTTTCAGACAAATTTTTGAAGAAACAGCAAAACAATAATTGCTAATTTGGGTGATTAACAGTTGAGTACATGGTAAAAATATTATCTTAAATTCATGGAAAAATTAATTACTCTGTGGAATTTTTATATATCAATGAAGTAGGGAATTTTTTTTTTTTTTTTTTTTTTTTTTGTTGGTTATCAAATTTTAGACTCTTACTTCTAAGCATCTGTATATACACACACACACATACAAAATAATGACGAAACTGTGATGTTTTTAATGTAATAATTTCATAAAATTCATAATACTTTTACCTTTTATGAAACAATAATAGTACTGAAGAAATTCAGCAAATCAGTCTGATGAAAGCAATAAGACTTTTTTTTTACATTTCAGCAATTCAAAAGTATCTATTTTTCATTTTACCATATTTTGCAAAAAAAAAAAAAAAAAAAAAGAGTAATGCAAACAAATGTAACAAACAGGAAATTCAAAAAAAAAAAGGGGGGCTTTTTTTTACACTTCTTGAGAAACCAACCCTAAGATGAAAATGACATGGGATACATAAAACCTCTATGTTTTGCCCCACGATTCTACGATCTTTTCATGAAAATTTGTTTATTATTGGTTTTCATTAGCTGTTTCATTATAATACTACTTCCAAATTTAAACTTTTTTGTTATTGTTATTCTTATTTTATATTACAAGTAAATTACAGTGGCTTTTAGAGCGTTGTTCAGTTACCGGTTTTCCCGGACTTATTGCATACAAATTTCTTTTTGATATATTCACCAGTTTCGTGCGCTACTGATAAATCAAAATCTTAGGACTGAAATGGTTTACGAAGCATAGAAAGATAGCTACTCCTCAGTCACCACCTAAATTTCATATTACAACAGAAAAATTTTTAAATACACGCAGAATGAAATACATAAAAACATGGTGCAAAATTACCTTCGGAAATGATGTAAAGAACTGCGAGTACCGCACAATACGAAAATTGTTCAATTTCCATATGAATCGAACAGGGGTATTTACAAACATCTTAATAATCATGAAAATTCTGATAGGTAGTTTTAAACAACTGGATTTAAGAAGTTCACTTATTACTTTACCAACTTTCTTGTTCCGGTAAAATACAAAAGCTAAATAATTTAAAATATAATATATAGATAATGTACAACTTCAGCCAACACCAAATATCAACAAACACGATACCTTAGAACAGATCAACACTGATATCAAGTCATATTTGATTAGAGTATAAATTAGGGCCGCACAAAATAAAGTGCCTAAGTAAGTGCCTAAGTTCAACCACTCGTAAGAAATTACAACCATTTTATATTTTAATTATAATACTAAAATTTATTTTTCGCTCCTTTTGGAGGATACAAGTGGCTTGTTTACTCCATTGCGATAAAAGGAGGAAATAACCTTCCACTCGGTTGAAGTACAATTTACAGTCTAAAGGGGTGTAAACTTTAATTTACTTTATGAGTATTATCATCAACAACCATGGACTTCAAGCATTTGTCCGTCGACAGAAACTTGAACTGTCCATCACAGCGATTATGGAGACGGGGGTTGGAGTTGGGAGAATGGATCATTCTGGAGTTGTTCCTAAATTTGTCTTTTCTTAATGTGCTTATTTTAAAGTTTGGAAAGACCGGAATGTTTTTCCTTTTTTTTTTTTTTTTTTTTTTTTTTTTTTTTTTTTTTTCATTGATGAGCGTTACCGTTCTCCAGCTGTTGTGGAAAAAAATGTTCTTTTGCTGTCTTTGTTCCTTCCAAGAATTTAAAATGTTCTATTATGGACTTAATCTGAAATCCCGTGATCAAGGTAGGATTTTTTCCTTTCTTCTTCTTCACTTATATTAGCTTTTACTGCTCAGCATTTATGATCTTATTACTTTTTTTAACTTTTTGTATGCATTTGGTTCTTTTTTCCATAACGTCCGTACTCACGCTATTGAAGTTTTGTTTGCATACTTCTCCCCCCCCCACTCGCACCGTGAGGGGAGCGTCAAGCCGTGACGTTCGAGAAACAACACACACCTGTTGCTGTAGATTACTTTGGAGGGAATTTTCTATGGGATAAAGTAAATAAAGTTGTACACATTAAAAGAAATATATTTCTTTCGTTTTCAGGACTGGAACAATTCGTTACACCACAACCACACTACAACGCAGTTGGCCTTGATCTAAGGCTACTATAAAGGCTACTATATATATATACTATATATATACTACTATCTCTAGTAGCTCTACCTTGATCCAGCTCTCTCGTGACGTCACGATGAGGCGTGCGAAGAAATCTCTCTCCTGCATTCGAAGCGAGTGAACCCACAGCCCGCTAATTTATCAGAGAAGTTAGTTTTATGTTATTCTGATGTAAAATTAGATGATATTATTAAATAAATGTACTATCTTAACATTTATTATATATCATGCTTTAAGACTTCAGATATCTGAGCTTATTTTTCTTAATACTTGATAAAAATTTTCACCTAGATGCTCAATAATTATTTATATTAGTCTCCTTTTATTTTCCATAGATTGGATAAACTTTCCAACACTTCATAACGCGAAAATGTTAAGTCTTCGACAGTGGCGTAGCGAGGGGGGGCAAGGGGGTGTATGATGCCCCGGGCGCCGCTCGCAGAGGGGCGCCATATGGTCTCCAAACAAGATTTTCATCATATTACCGTGTTTTTTTCGGGAGAGGGGGGGCGCCAAAAAGGTATTTTGCCCTGGGCGCCAGTTATGCTCGCTACGCCACTGGTCTTCGAACTGCAAACGAAACATTTCATATTATTTTTCTTTCACATGTAAACGTGAAAAATATGAATAAAAAAAGAGCATTTTACAAGAACCAACCTTTTTCTTACAAACTTTTTTAAATAATATTTAATTTTCTTCAGTATGGCGATAAAATGAAAGAACTAGCATTTTCTGTTATTACATTAATTTTTAAAGCAAATTTTAGTGTAGAAGATCTTTTACAATAAACTAAATATTAAAAAGGAATATTTCATCATTTATTTATCGATATAAATATATTAAAATTTATTTTTAATGATAATTTTTAATGTCAACATTGTTTTAAACTGTCAAATGGGTTAAGCAAATATTGTTATGTATTAACTCTGTTATCATAAAATAATTATTAAACTTGCAGTGATGCTAGATTCTTACAGAATAAAAACCAAAGATCTATTTTTAAATCTGTCACAGAAAATCATTTTACTTTAAGTTTTGCCGACAGTCTTTATTAAACACTTTTTTTAATTGCGATATGACTTATTACTATTCTATATTACTCTTTAGCGAAATCTTGATATGTCCACGTTAGAATTATGATGAATCATAATAGTTAATTTCCGAAAGTTGTTTGCCTGCACCTATGTGTGACTTTTGATTTTTTGGATTCACTTATGCGTATCGTTAAGGAATTGTAAAGGGGGGAAAAATAATAATTCACTGAAAATTTAATAGACAACATTTTGAAAGGAACACACTGCAAAATTATATTTTAAATTTTAAATTTTGCAAGGCAGTTAGCCCAGGTTTCCACATCTCGTTACCGAAGCGCACGTGGTAGAGCCTATATCAGATCAGGAAAGTGAAATGATAATTTAAGATACCGGACGTCCCTTGCAAAAGAACTTCATTCTCCCAGTATATTTAATCTTTATTCTATTGTATCCATTTAAAACATCATATACTCTATAGCTTTTCAAAAATGTAGCATTTTGCTAATGTATGAAGTTTAATTTAAAAAACGTAACAGCAAAATTTTAGGATAAAAAAATTCTAAGCTTTATAAGCAACTGGTGCAACAATATTGTTTTCAAGTTTTGTTTATATATTTTTAAAAATATAATTTTAATTACAATTTTCACAATAATTTTGAAAAATGACCAAAAAAAGTTTAAAAAAAGGGTAATGTGAAAAACACAAATTTGAATTTTTAAATGAAAAACATTATTACTTTAAAATCTTTAAATTTATAATGACAAGTACATTAAAAATAAAACTGAAATAAATTAGATATTACAAATCATTTAATGCTATATGATTAATATATAATCATAATGCACAGCGTTTCAGCAATACATGAAACAAAATTTACTATACATTAAATAATCCTGTAGTATTATGGACTTAATTAATTTATTGTTTACTTTTATATTTTACACTAGTTATTGTTTATTTTTTTAATATTTTACACTAGTTTTTCAGTAGAAATCATTTTAGCTTTAAAAACAAACACATTAAACGTATCGAATATTTAATCTAGTTTTCTTTAAATATCAATAAAATCATAGTAATGAAACCTCACCCTGCTGTTTTTAGTCCGAATGAAGTCCTTCCGTTTTATTGCACGTATCCACTTTCACATCTGCATCAACAGGAAAAGCGAAAATATGTATTGTAATTTCCGTTACATCGCGGCACTGAAGACATGTAAGACATTATATTGCTTCTGGAACAACCCACAAATTGGAAAAAACTCAAATTTAAAGTGTCCGACTACGAAAAAAGCACGGTATATGCCAAGATTCTCTCGTAGCAATGGCGACTAACAATAACCTTTGACCCAACCAAAGAATCTCTAGGGGACTATAGATTCTTTGGACCCAACGCTGCCCTCAAACCCAAAGAAGGGTGCACTCTCTGTACTGACATCACGCGCTCTACGTCACTGAGCTGTAAGGCCTTGTTCTCGAAGGCCACGGTCAAGCTCGCAAAAGACTGTAGTTCGAAGACCTTCAGTTTTAGCTGTAAGTGAGGGAAGCAGAAAATTTTTCTGCTCCTTGAAATTAGGAATGGGTTATTCAATAAATGGTAATAATATATTAAATTATGTTTTCGTTTTAAATGGCTGTTGTAACATATTTCCATAAATAAATTCATAGATGTAACGTTTATTATCACTGAAAAAGGAAAAAAATATCGTGGAGAATAGTGAGCAACAAAGCACTTAGTAAGCCTTCGCCAGTGATCATCATGTTTTCACAAACATTAGTTTGTTATTTTTCACTATCCAATTATTTTATGTTTTGGATCTTTACTATCATTTTTTTTTTGATTCCATTTCCTGACCAGAATGTAAATGAGGTAGTCTTTAAAGGGAAGGTTTCAGCAGATTAATTCTAAGCATGTTCCCCTCTCTAGGTCACGTTACTTAGTTGCTGCTAGTTCAGAGGAGATTTGTAGTCTTCGGTCGTGCATTATAATTGCCGATATTTGAATACTTAGGCCGGTTAGATTTTTGAGTTAACTTCACTTAAATTGATTTATGCTGAATTTGACTATTAGCTGATTTTTAAATTTGAATTTACTGTTACTCTACTTCTTTCACATCGAAGTAACCTTAACAACCCTGCACTCAGACATCGGCAGTTCACACGCATGCGTCTCTTTTCTACCTGGTGCTTTCCCGGCCGATGCTATTCGCACCAGCGGTGCGATTAGCCGCTTGAGCTATTCGCACCCAAGGTCCGTAGAAACCTTTCTACGGACCTTGATTCGCACCAACATTAACCACGCATGCGCATTGAGTTGTAGGATACGTCATTTGAACCCAGTCGAAAAGAACGGATTCGTGTAAATCAAACCACACTGTATGGGCGCCCTTTTAATCCACTGTATGGGCGCTTTTTTACATTGGCCAAACTAAGAGAGCCTTAAAATTTCGCGTCAAGGAACATGAGGCATATGTTAGAAAAAAGGAACCACAGAAGTCTTCTGTTGCTCAACATTGTTGGTCCTAAAATCACACTTTCAATTTTTCTGCTGCCAAAATTATTCGAAAAACATCTTCCATTGGAGAACTGGATTTTCTAGAGGCATTTCACATTCAAAAAATCTTTTTGTTCTAGTTAACGATCCTAATTACAATCCATCTTTGCCTTCGGCCTTTAAAGAAATTATGTTTTAGTTCTGGTTTCACCAACAGATGGCACCACTTGCTTTATAACGTTGCGCGCCTCTAACTAGCACGCAACCAAGAGGTGACTGTGAAAGCTTGTATAAACCACAGAGTCTTGTAAAGGGTTTAAGTCCCTTTTTATTCAACGTAATAAATTACAATGGCGTCCTCTTGACGCTTACAGACTGTGCCCACTAGGCAGTCAAATAAAAATAAAAACCTGAAAAGAAGTAAAGACAATATTCTAACTACGAGGCTCTCTAAAATAACTAACTCACCGCGTTTTACAAATACCGCAGCTAATTCAGCAGACTTGAAGCTCACTGGAACAATTGCCACTACTTCCCTCCAAGCACATAGGCCGCAACGCGGGGTTCTTCAATTCTCGATAACTACCTCCGCGCTCGCTAAGTAAGAATCTCACT